AGCGAAAGGTGTTTGAGTTTTGTGGATAACGTGTAAAAGCTGTTTTTGTTTTCCCTGCCAGAAAGCCTGATTAATCACACTGTGCGTCACATGGTTCACACCAAAACTCTTTAGCCTAGTAAAAGAGCTCTTTCTGAAGCTGAGGTCAAGGAAAGGGAAAGAAAACACCATGATGAGTGGATCGAATGCATTTGTGCTTTTATCGTCAGCTGTTGTCTTTAATTTTTTATGCCCAACTATTGATCGCTAAGCTGTGTTTGTCTGATGCAACTCAAAAAGAGGTCAGAGGTGAGAGCTCATTTTGTTCTGAGGACCTTTCAGCGAAGCATATGCTGACTAAGGCTTTAACGTCACTCTTCAAGTCTCGTTTTTTCTTTCAGCACATCTGCTGCTCTAAGAATAATCTTCTTTCTGCACATTAGACAAATAACCCCTGTTATGTTGACTAAAAGTCTTCATCAACATCATTTCTTTGTGTTCATTTGAACTCGTCCTAAAATGGGACCAGACGAACTGATTTATTATTTCAGCCTTTTTTCAGTCCACTGACTTTAGTTACTACTAACAGCTAATCCACATACTTTTTGACCATTTTTTTGAAAAACAGTTGAAACTATTATGCCTCAATTATTTTCTTATGCAAAAAAATTCAATTGGTTTATCCATACAGCTATCCATTCAATTGTTAGAGATCTGTATTTGTAATTGTATTTCTAATTTTAACCTGTTATTATTTATCCATTATAGTTAATGGATAAATATATATCTCTCGGCTGGCCTGGGAACGCCTTGGCGTTCCCCCGGATAAGCTGGAGGAGGTGGCTGGGGAGAGGGAGGTCTGGGCCTCTCTGCTTAGGCTGCTGCCCCCGCGACCCGGCCTCGGATAAAGCGAATGAAGATGGATGGATGGATAGTTAATGTATTTATCCATACCTGTAGCTAACAATTTTGACTGCTAACCATCCAACATGAACTTAAATTGAAAGTGGAAGAAAATGGGTGGACTACATATATGATATTTAAAGGTTTAAAAAACTGAGAAAGAAAATTGTTGCTGTTAAAAATAAATACTTGTGACTTTCAACTGTCACTCCATCAGGCACATAGTAGACCAGGGGTGGGGAACTCCAGGCCTCGAGGGCCGGTGTCCTGCAAGTTTTAGATCTCACCCTGGGTCAACACACCTGAATCAAATGATCAGTTCATTGCCAGGCCTCTGGAGATCTTTTAGACATGCTGAGGAGGTAATTTACCCTTTAAATCAGCTATGCTGGATCAAGGACACATCTAAAACCTGCAGGACACTGGCCCTTGAGGCCTGGAGTTCCACCACCCCCGTACTAGACCAATCTGCATGACCTCTGTCCTCTGAAAGAAAATAACAAAGAAAAACTTGCATGTCACATAAAAGGCTACATTTTTGACAAGACTGACTACTTAGACACGGCAACTAAAGTGAAGACCACAATGAAATTTAGCAGCACTTTGCTTTCAAGCGGTGTAAGTAGCGTGGTGCAGCAAAAGGGCCAGTCTCCACATCTCCCAAGTGGAACACACTCCCACTTACAGTGGCATTCCATCCATCCCTGTGATCCTGCAACACATCCCACACACACTGATCACACAGATACAGGCTCGTACATGCAAACACAATACTTAGCTGTGTGTGTCAGCTGGATATGCAGATAACAGACAGGCCCGAAAAAAGCTTTTGTTTGAAAAGTAAAGTCCCCATTTAATCAGCAACAGCATTTTTGTCATTCTTCACTTCTGCATGGAACTAGCTTAGTGCTTGTCACTGTTGTTAAGGTTTTTAACTGGTCAACATGGGCTCATCCTACCAAAGGATGCCTGAGGGCGTAAATATGAGCATAAAATATTTGACTTACTTCAATATGATCCGTCTAATAATTTGTCTTTATAAAGCCAATAACTGCTAGAAGCAGCATCTACACCCAGACCAAGTTAGAAATGAAGCATCTTCTCTCATTAACCCAGAATTATTACATTATGGTGACTTATAGAATAGTTTTTCCTCCGGACATAA